CTGGTCACTGTAGTCCTCCGGGAATTGCCTCTGCACCTCAGGATCTGTAAATAATTGACAGATAATATTAATTGGCTTTGGATTAGTGAGCAAGCAGAGGATCACACATTAATATTTGATCAGAAGATGATAGCAGCCCTGGCAGGGGATCCAAGGGGGGCAGCTGAGGCTGCTATGTTGATGAGCACAAGGAAGGACTCGGCAAGGCACTCCCATTACCGTCCTCCAGAAATATAAAAAAGAAAAATTTTGAAGACCTGGTGCTACTGTTAACTTTAGACTATTACCTAATGCAAAAATCTTACTGGCTGCAAATTGCCCTCAATACATTTTTCCAGAGAAAATGTGTCTTAAACCTGCTTGACTTTTCTTCTCTAATCAGGAGCCTCCTTTTCATAGTTACAGATGTGGGCTTGATAAACCATCTTAAACACCAGTTTCAGAATGTGGGGCAGGTGTAGGGGGGCGCTGGATGAGAGAAGAATTCTTTCAAGGAACAAATGCAAAACTCCTTGATTTAAAAATAAAATATATCCTTCCCAAAATACTTACGAACTCTTAAAGATACAGATAAAACTAGATGAAGTTTTCTTCAAAACAGAACCAAACAATACACTGCTAGCTTGTCAGTGTAAACAAAGTATCATATGAGATATTATGTTCTATCTAACATAATCAGACTTGCTCAGAAACTATAAAAATCCACAGGTGAAAATAGCTTTCATGACCATCTGTTTAAAACGGAATTACTAAAGGGGTCACTTGATTCTTCAATCATAATTGCAAGGTAATCCAATGCCATCGTCCGTAAGTCAATACAGAAGTGTACTAATTAAAAGCTATTAGCACTCCATTTGCTATCGACTAGGAAAACATTCAATCTTTCCTAATAAGAGAAAGATCTGGTTCCTCAGAGACACACTAAGGGGAGTGATCAGAATAATATCTATTTGAGAAGTCACGTATCACTGCAAAAGGCTTATTTAAAAGCACAATATTTGAGGGTCCCCTCTCACTGTGATCACAATATATACTATTCACTTTTCATATCTATCTTTTAAACACCAGTTTACTTCTCTGTGAAAGTGAATCCACGTAGAAATTAAAACCCTCCAAATCACAACACAAAAATGTCATTAATTGCTCTGCAGTGAAGAATCAAAAAGAGAAAAAACTAAGGGCCTATTCATATACTACATTTAAATCCTAGAAATACCAGTTTTCGAGTCATTACAGTCAACAGATGTTATTTTTCAAAACTCAAGACTAATAACAAAAGCAGGAATATTCAAAAGGTCATACTAAAAGCAGAGCTTCCCAAAATGGGTGGTGCAAAAAAGTTGAAACTATCCGTAGATCATTTTGGCTCTTGAGGTGTCTTCTGGTTGACCTAAAACTTGGGGATCAATTTCTTTCTTTACCCTCATCTTCAAATACTAGAAAGGACAAATGATGTGTCTAGACTGTGACTAGCAGAATTCTGGAGTTAATCCCCCCTGCAGGGCTGTTCTGGTGGGCCAGAAGAAGATGCTGTTGCTTCTGTCTGGCCTGAAGGGCTGAAATCACACAAGGACTTGCCCTCTTGAGACAGGAGGCCAGAGGGCACTAACAGCGTGGCATGAAAAGCATAGGTCTACAGGGAAGAATTAGCCAGCAGGATGCAAAAGGACAGCCAGATACCCAACAAACTTCTAAAAGTGTGCTGTTGGGGTGGGGGTCGGGGGAGCCTAAAAAAGGGCAGTGGCTGTAATTCCTAAAACATACATAAATGACTTGATCCAGAAAAAAGCTGGTATTTTAGGATTTAAAATTTGGTCCTAAAACCAAAAAAAAAGGTACTCCCTAAGTCACTGACGGACACAGTAAAACAGAGGTTGGGAAAGCCACAAAATAATCTAAGGCTTATTCTTCTTCCAATTGTCACGTGGTTAACGCTTACTCGTCAACCAGAAAACTTCATACAGAAATGACTCACATATAAACCTTTAATATCATGTCCTCTCTCTTGCAGTAGTTTGTGCTTTTGGGGAACCACAAAATACCGATGGAAATAAAGATGGAATAAAACCAAAGACTTTATTTTTTATCACCATTCTGTAAGGGGTTGAATGTCAGAAAACAACATTTGTGGTATATTCTTCAGTTTAAAAAAATCAGTTTCTTGTTTATAGGTAGGAGAAGGAAGGTTTTTAAATCTCTTTAACCAATTATATTAATGAGAAACTACACTAATAATTAACTTATTTTAAAAATGTATTTTATTCATATATACAATATAGTAAAATTGAAAAAAGAGAAGGAAACATGGCTGAAAGAAAAATCAACCTATTTTAATACACTGAAGGTAAAGATGACCACGGAATGCCAAGATGGGGGTCATTCAAATCATATTATCTGAAACACTGCCTCAATGGCAGGCAACATAATAAACAACATCAACTAAATTCCTTCAACTGTCCTAAGACTAACCCTAGAGTGCGAGTCCCAGATTTTAACAGAACCATGTTCCAAGATAATACATGGATCATTATTTACTATGATTCAAGCATAAAACTTTTGATTTCCTTTCTATAATGCTCTGAGGTTTACAAAAGCAAACTTCATGGGTCCTTAACCCTCCCTAAAGCAATATTTAAAAAAAAAAAAAAGGCAATGCTTTTTAAAACCAAAGCCCAACCTATACAGTTCCATTCAATTAGCTCAAAGATCCAGTCTGATAGTTAATAAAACTATGCAAGCCATTTTGTAAAAATTAACGCAAAAACTGAAAATAATTTGTTTGAATTTTCTTAAAATGTCTGTTTTGCACAGTAGGTTGAAATCTTCTTTTTTCACGTTGAGTCGATCATAATGCCATAATGTCACCAAAATATCGACATTGGAAACATCTGAGTTAAAAAGGTCCAAATACAATCTGCTTTTCTCAAGCAACACAACACCCGCCTTACTAACAGTTTCAGCATGGCACACGTACAAAACCTAGCACCCTGCAGTTAAGCAAACCGCCTTTAAATTTTCTGTCTGGCAGCAATCCACTTTCGTGTCTGTATGTTTTTACAAGTACTCTATGTATTTCATTGCATCAGCTGCATTTCTTTGAGTTTTAAATGGTCTGGGAACATTTTATGAAATGTTCTATATCTTTATATGGAAAATAACATACACTGGAAAACTGTGCATCGGTCTAATATTTATATATCTATTTCTTTATCCATCATCCAACGCCATAATTGCTAATGTTCCAAAACACCTTCTCACATTCATAACCTCACTGCCAGATGCAGTGTCACCAAACAGCTAACTTGCAACACAAAAATCTGCAGATGAGAGTACTACCATAGAAAAAAGTAACATAACAATTTGCTTAGGCAACTGGCAGTAAGAATAGAATTATGGCATATGTCAGGCTTTTTCTCTAAGAACTGTCCCTATGATAGAAAATTAAGAACATAATATAGTGGTACATAGCACACAACTTCCCTCCTTATCCTCCTCTCTCAGCGACTTTCTCCAGATTTAATAGATTCTTAAAAAATTAAAAACCAATTTCATCATCTCACAGGAAAATACTTCTCAACAACAAAAAAATATTTAAAATATCTTGCCAACCAGACTTATGATACGGTAGAGTCCATATATTTCTTAAACACATAAGCCTAAAAGAGACAATTGGCTCTGGAACGAGGCTTCTCATGATGTGAACGTGATGGGCCACTACGTTCTCCCAGCACCACGGCCATGCAAGAACTGTCCCCACACAGATACATGTGCACCACTTCCACTGGAGGCCACAAGGAACATTTCCGTATTTAAAACAGACATTTCATAGTATAGGACTCCTAACAGCACAATCTCATTCAGGCACAGAACGTGACCACGCTTAAAAGGCTATATGTTCACAGCACAAAAAGTGATCACAAAACAAATGTCTTACTTTTTGCTTTTTAAAGAAAAGCTAATTTTCTTCAATCTCAATAGTCCATGTTTTCTAGTCTTCTACTGTAACATACTTTTAAATCTTTAAGATATACCAGATTGCCACAGGATGTTTAATTAATAGAATAAGGGTTTGGGCAAGACTTACTGGAAAGGTGCTATAAATTATTTTACACAGGCTCCAAAACCTTGAGTTCTGCCTTAGGCTTAAAGTTCCTAGAAAACGTGGTAGACAGATCTTTTACAACAGAAATGCAAAATAATTCATAAAAGTACCGTGGTTATGTATGAGGGCTCATTTGTAGATCAGTAACGAGTATGTGTACACACACACACACACACACACACCCCTTACCAAATTATTTTCCTGTTTTTCTGTCACATTAATGACTCCATTTCAAGGGTCAAGGTATGATACTTTAATTGATTATTGAAAAATACACTGACTTCATTTTCTATGAAAGGTGTAACAACTGCACACGAACCAAACGGTACAATCTTCTACAACTGGAACTCTTCTAGGAAACTTAAGAGAAACTGCAATGGAGCCATTAACACGGGAATCTACACTGCTTTCACTTTTAACATCCTAGGTATCAAGGCAGAAAACATCACATTTAATGCCTACTAAATTTATCCAGTCATTATCTCTAGGATATTTCAGTCAGTAAGAGACAAAATATTGAACACATTGAAAGCTTACAATATAAAAATCTGTCCTTTAAAAGCGAGACTTTTAAATTAGCTATAAATGATATAATCTCATTGTTCAATTTCACGGAGTTTAAGATAACTATCTTCCTCTCCGTACTATCTTCTACAACCATAAATGTTAATCCAAACTGTAATCAGATTTAATTTTCCAGAGGAGAAGATGGGAATATGCTGCAAACGGGTAATAGTCCATTAATTACACTGCTCTTTCCCGAAAGACACTTTCAAATTTTATACACTAAAAATGTAGATTCTCAGAAATAGTCTGAGAAGTTGTACATTTTGTGGACAAGCTCAAGCTTCTCCAAAACATACCGGGAAATAAACTTTCTTTTAATCTTCAAGAAGAAAAGTTAATTTTTTGGTATAATGTAGAATTAGCTTCTTGATAGTA